GTTAACTCTGTTTTTTCCTTCACAGATGCTGCCAGACCTACTGAGCGTTTCCAGCAGCTTCTGTTTTTGTTTCTGATTTATAGCATCCGCAGTTCGTTCGGTTTTTATTTTCTGTGGACTCAGGAACAGTCCCAGCAGATTGGAGGGTAGCTAATGTCACTCCAATATTCAAAAAAGGAGGTAGAGAGAAAACAGGGAATTATAGACTGGTAAGCCTATTATCAGTAGAGGAGAAAATTCTTGAATCCATTATCAGGACTTTATAGCGGAGCATATATAGCAGATGCAGGGATCCTTCAGCATGATCTGGATAAGTTGGGTGAGTAGGCAAATCAATGCCGGATGCAGTATAATTTGGAATAATGTGGAAGCAAAAACAAGAACGCAGATTACGACCTGAATAGCTATAAATTGGGAGAGGGGAGTGTGCAGCAGGATCTGGGTGTCCTTGTGCACCAGTTACTGAAGGTAAGCATGCAGGTGCAGCAGGCGGTAAAGAAGGCGAATGGTATGTTGGTCTTCATTGCAAGACGTTTCGAGCACAGGGGCAGGGATGTGCTGTTGCAGTTCAGGGCCTTGGTGAGGCCACACCTGGAATATTGTATGCAGTTTTGGTCTCCTTTTCTGAGGAAGGATGCTCTTGCTCTCGAGGGAGTGCAGCGAAGGTTTACCAGGCTGATTCTGGGGATGGTGGGTCTGACGTACGAGGAGAGATTGCCTGGGTTAGGATTGTTTTTGCTAGAGTTCAGCTGAATGGTGGTGGTGGGAGGCTTCCAGAACCAGGGGTCACAGACTAAGGATTATGCGTGGACGATTTAGGATGGAGATGAGGAGAGGTTTCTTCACCCAGAGTGGTAAGCCTGTGGAATTCGTTACCACAGGAAGTAGCTGATGCCAAAACATTGAATGTATTTAAGAAGCGGCTAGATTTAGGGCTTGGGGGCGAATGGGGTCAAAGGTTATGGGAGAAAGCAGGATTAGGCTATTGAGTCAGACTATCATGAATAGTGGTGGAGCAGGCTCAAAGGGCCGAATAGCCTCCTCCTGCTCCTGTCTTCTATGTTTCTATTTAAAAAGCACAATCTTTTAAAGGGACCACACAATGCTTTCTCCCCTAGAATTTTAAAAAAAGACCAATATCTTACAAATACCAAATTCTAACGTCCTGCCCCCCAATCCACAAATACTCTACCCAACTTCGTAACACCTCCCCCCTCAAGAAAAAAAATGAACTATCATTAAGAAAAGATGGCTTCATTTCTTTTTAGAACCTTAACTCCATTGTATTGCTAGATCCATAGCTCATTAATCTAGAGTTATATATTTTATACTAACTCCATTTATATAGAACATTGAACACTACCGTTTCTATCTTATATAAACATTTTTCTTTTAAACCCACAATAGTGCATCCACAATAACATTTTCATGACCCACAACACATACAATCTGTAAATTAAATGTTTGTAACATGAAACTCCAATGAAATAATCTGGTGTTCTTGTCCTTAAATCGTTCCAGAAATGTCAAAGGTTTGTGATCGGTATACTCAACCATTTCTGATGTGTTGTTTGCAACATAAACATTAAAATGTTGTAAGGCCAGTACCAAACTCAATAACTCTTTTTCACTGGTTGAATAACTTTTCTGGTGGATATCAAGGGGTTCTTATTGATGAGTAACTGATTGGCCTTTCAATTCCAAATTCATCTTCATGTAACAACACAGCTCCAACACCTACATCGCTCACGTCGATGGCAACTTTGAAGGGTTTCCAGAAATTCAGTGTGGCTAAAACTGGTGTGGTTGTTAACACTACTGTTAAATTCTCAAATGCCTCCTGGCATTGGCCTGTCCAACAAAATTTCATGTTCTTTTTTAACAAATCCATTAGCGGTGCTACCACGCTATGAAAGTTTGGCACAAATTTCCTGTAGAATCCGATCAATACTAAAAATCGTAGCACTTCCGCTTTGAGGAAGGTCTTGGAAATTCCTCGTTGGCCGTTGTCTTCACGTGCCTCGTTGTCATCCATCCGTATCCGATGGTGTGCCCTAAGAACATCACTTCGCCCTTCGCAAATTCAGTTTTTGCCAAGTTTAGGACCAACTTTGCCTTCCGTAGTCTCTCAAAGAGCTCTCCCAAATGGTCCATCTGATCTTTCCATGATTGGCTAAAGTTCACTAAGTCATCTATACAGACAACACAATGAGTCAGTCCTGTCACAGCTCTGCTCATAAGCCTTTGAAATGTGGTTGGTGCGTTTTTCATTCCAAAGGGCATTACTTTAAATTGATACAGGCCATTTGGGGTTACAAACGCAGAAACCTCTTTCAATCTCTCCGACAAAGGTACTTGCCAGTAACCACAAAGTAAGTCCAACTCTATGAAAGTGGCTTGTCCTACTTTTTCCACACAATCCTCCAGCCTTGGAATTGGGTGTGCATCAGATTTGGTAACGGTCATGACCTTCTGATAATCTACGCAGAATCAATGAGTACCATCAAGTTTGGGAAACAACACAATCAGCGAATAATTCTCCTGAGCAACTGTAGCAAATCTTTCTGCCAGCATATTAGTCCCCTTTCAATGCAGGTGCAAACTGTCCTTCTCATAAAGGTCACTTCTACCCGAGAAGAGATCCCAATGATCCATAAATATGTATACTTCTCCTCTGTACCAGCTCCTCAGCCATGCATTCATCTGCTCTAATCTCCTATTCCTATCCTCACTAGCTCATGTCACCGGGAGGAATCCAAATATTATTCCCCTCGAGGACCTCCTTTTAACCTCCTGCCTAATTTGCGATATCCTCTCCTCTCAGAACCTCGTCCTGTTCTCTTCCTATGCCTTTGCCTCCAATGTGTACAGCAACCTCCTGCTGGTCACTCCCCCTTTGAGAATATTCGGCACCCTTTCTGAGACATCCTTAACCCTGGCACCCGGGAAGCTACATACCATTCTGATATATCATTGCTGTCTGTTCCTCTGACTAGAGAGCCCCCTAACACAATTGATCTCTTCAATCCTTGCACACCCTTTGTCAGAGTAGATCCAGTCTCAGAAACCTGGCTCTCAGTGCTATATTCTGCCAAGAGTGCATCACCCCCGACATTTTCTGAAACAGCATACCTGTCTGAGATGGGGACAGGCCATAGGAGACTCCTGCACTACCCGCCTACCTCTCCCACCTTTCCCTGAAGTAACCCATCTACCCAGCTGTATCTGATGTTCATTTTAATTCTAGGGATGTAAATAGCCTTCCACACAAGTCATTACAACGCAAGTACGATATTTCACCGTGTAAGCAACGATGGGAAAGCCTGTAGCATCAACCTTTGGAATCTTTCAGATCAGTGGTACATGATGACCCAGCTTACCTAGAGGATCCACATCACTGTAAGATATTATGTTCTGCGAGGTAAAGCAATCCAATGCAAATCTCAGTTTAAATTTTTCTGTCCTTTGTGCGCAAGTGTTATGAGCATTTCTGACATTTTTATAATTACTTGTGAACTGGGTACTTAAATAGAAGTAAATATGTTTTGGTTTACAGTTTTACAACCTGTTTGTTTCAAAGGTCAGAAAGTCATCTTTGACACTGAATTGAAAGGAAGTGTTCAGCGAAGTCATGTAATCTCAGCTCAATGCCCAGCAAGTTACTCATTGCCGAAGGCGTTTGCTGCCATACATTTCACAACCAGCAGAGGGAGACAGAATCAGAATGAGAGTTTAATTTCTCGTCACTTCAGAGCCACCAGCCAATGAATGGAGATGGAAGAGACCCAGTACAGCAGAGGTGCTGGCATTAGCAGCCTATTATCATGGGTTGAGATACGAGAGTTCCCAGCAGATTTAAACGGACTTGGGGACGAGTGTCCTAGATCTTTACGCAAAACTTCGGTGAGAAGTGGTAAATCTGTTTAATTTTGGTGCTTGTTGTTGGTTAAATCAAAAGTGGGATAATGGCTCTTTCAGGGGTTTATCTTGCTTTAATTGTACAGGGTACTAGTGAGACCACACTTGGAGTATTGATGTCCTTATTTGAGGAAGGATGTTGTGGCTCCAGAGGAGAGGTTTACCAGGCTGATTTTTGGGATGGCAGAACTGAAGCATGAAAAGGGACGGGATCAGTTAGGATTGTATTAACTGGAGTTCAGAAGAATGTGGTGGGATCTCATAAAAATCTATAAAGTTCAAATATCATGAGATAGGATAAATGCCGACAGGATGTTCCCTAAGACCGGGGAGCCTAGAACCAGGGGTCACAGTCTAAGGTTGTGTGATAGCCCTTTAGCTCTCTCTCTCACTTTCTCTCTCCCTAACTGTCTCTGTGCCATCGTTAGACCTGCTGGGTTTCTGAATCGTGTTCTGTTTTTTATTTCAGATCTTCAGCAGATGCAACACAATGCTTTTATTGATATGCAGTTGGAGAACTGTGTCAAATAGTGGCTGCCTTCTCATAAAGTAGATGAAGGGACAGTAAAGAAGGTGTAAAAGAAATCAAAGCTGAAACCGAATCTGCAAATCTATAACCCTCAGCAACGGCTCCAGAGGCCGGTCTCAGTTTTAATGAGAACGGAGGCTGAGGGGTCAACTAACAGATTCATTCATAGAGGCTTTTGTGTGTTATAAAGTGGATCTGCAGCCTGTCAATAAAAGGTACTCACAAAGAAATAACTTCCTTCGTGTTGATACATAGGATTGCATGGCACTGATAAGATGAGTATTACTGCTATTCAGAAGGTGGTAATGAACTTACTAACCCCTTATTCAGAGGGAACCACATTGCTGTGGATCTGGAGTCATGTGGAGGCCAGATTAGGTAACAATGACAGGTTTCCTTGATGAACGGACATGAGTGAACCAGACAGATTTCGATTTTAATCCAGTTGCTTCACAGTCACCGTTCCTGGCAAAAACTCATATTAATTGAATTGAAAAGGCCCAGTAGCCATCATGGGAATTGAATCAATTTCCCCAGATCATTAGTCCCAGTCTCTAGATTGCTACCCTGGAACATAACGATGAACAAAAGTAGAGAATTGAGAAGTAGCTCCTTATCTAACAAATGCTGAGAATGATGAGTTCTAATGTAGTCAATAGTTGATTTAAATTGTTTACATATATTTAAAGGTTGATGCATCAGTGTAACAGGAGCAAGACAATCAATATAACACAGGGAGAGTCAGATGAAGGCAGCTGGGGGAAGTGGAACATAAACCTCAGAATAGACTTGTTGGGATGAATGACCTGTCTCTGTGTTTATATTCCGTGCAATTCTTTGTAATATTCCATTATCCAATGGTGGACCCATTCTGGAATCACATGACAGTCTCCCACCTTGTGATTGTGACAATCAGAAGCTTGACCCCATTGTTAATTTTCTCCAGATTGGAAGATAGAAGGCCCACTCCAGGACTTGAGGGAGTGCTGCACTGTCAGAGAAACTGTCCTTAGCATGAGCTGGTTCAGGGGGATGGTACCATTTGGTACACAGTAACATTTTCACCTCAGCTAATAGGAAAACAATGGGTGATGGTCAAGAGGAAAATTATTTATTTTTTATTTATTCATTTGTGGGATGTGTGCATTGCTGGCTACCCAGCATTTCTCACCCATCCCTAGTTACCCTTGAGAAAGTGGTTGTGAGCTGCATTCTTTGACCACTGAAGTCCTCCTGCTGTAGGTTGACCCACAATGCCCTTAGGGAGGGAATTCCAGGATTCTGACCCAACGACACTGAAGGAACAGTGATATATTTCCCAGTCAGGAAGGTGAGTGGATTGGAGGGGAACTTGAAGGTGGTGGTGTTTCTATATGTCTGCTGCCCTTGTCCTTCTAGGTGAAAGTGGTCATGGGTTTGGAAGGTACAGTCTGAGGATGTTTGATAATTTCTGTGATGCATCTTGTAGATAGCACACACTGCTGCTACTGAGCATTGGCAGTGGAGGGAGTGGATGCTTGAGGATGTGGTGCCAATCAAATGGGCTGCTTTGTCTTGGATGGTGTCAAGCTTCTTGAGTGTTGTTGGGGCTGCACCCATCCAGGCAAATGGGGAGTATTCTATCACACTCCTGACTTGTGCCATGGAGATGGTGGACAGGCTTTGAGGAGTCAGGAGGTGAGTTACTCGCTGCAGTATTCCTAGCCTCTGGCCTGCTCTTGTAGCCTCTGTGTTTATGTGGTGAGTGCAGTTGAGTTTCTGGTCAATCATGAACTGCAGGATATTGATATAGGAGAATGTCAGGGGCAGTGATTAGATTGTCTCTTATTGGTGATGGCCATAGCTTGGCATTTGTGTCGCGTGAATGTTACTTGCCGTTTGTCAGCCCAAGCCTGGATATTGTCCAGATCTTGTTGTATTTGGACATAGACTGCTTCAGTATCCAAAGGGTCTGTGACATGTGCTAAATATTCTGCAATCATCGGCGAACATCCCCACTTCTTATGATGGAGGGAAGGTCATTGATGAAGCAGCTGAAGATGGTTGTCCAAGGACACTACCCTGAGGAACTCCTGCAGAGATGTCCTGGAACTGAGATGACTGATGCCCAACAACCACGACGATCTTCCTATGTGTCAGGTATGATTCCAACCTCCGGAGAGTTTGCCCCATGATAGCCATTGATTCTAGTTTTCCTGGGGCTCCTTGATGCCACACTCAGTTGAATGTAACCTTGATACCAAGGGCTGTCACTCTCACCTCACCTCGGGAATTCAGCTCTTTTTGTTCATGTTTGAACCAAGGCTGTAATGAGGTCAGGAGCTGGGTGGCCCTGGCGGAACCCAAACTGGGCATCACTAAGCAGGTTATTGCTGAGCAGGTGCTTCCATCACTTTACTGATGATTGAGAGTAGACTGATGGGGTGGTAATTGGCCTGGTTGGATTTTTCCTGGGCAATTTTCCACACAGACAGGTAGATGCCAGTGAAATAACTGTCCTGGAACAGCTTGGCTAGGGGAGAAGTGGGTTCTGGAGCACAAGCCTTCAGTACTATTGCTGTAATGTTGTCAGGGCCCATAGCCTTTGCAGCATCCAATGTCTCCAACCATTTCTTGACATCACGTGGAGTGAATTGAATTGGCTGAAGACTGGTATCTGTAATCCTGGTGATCACTGGAGGAAGTCAAGATGGATCATTCACTTGGCACTTCTGGTTGAAGATTGCTGTGAAATTGTCAGCCTTATCTTCTGCACTGATGTGCTGGGCTCTTCCATCATTGAAGATGGGGATATTGTGGAGCCTCCTCCTCCAGTGAGTTGTCTAATCATCCACAACCATTCACGACTGGATGTGGCAGGACTGCAGAGCTTAGATCTGATCCGTTGGTTGTAGGATTTGTTAGCTCTGTCTATCACTTGCTGCTTTCACTGTTTGGTGTGCAAGTAGTCCTGTTTAGTGGTTTCACCAGGTTGTTACCTCATTTTCAGATATGCCTAGTGCTGCTCCTGGCATACCCTCCTGGTCTCTCCTTTGAAACAGGGTTGATCCCCTGACTTGATGGTAATGGTCTAATGGGGGAATGTGCTGCAGCATGAGGTTACAGATTGTGCTGGAGTACAATTCTGCTGCTGTTGGTGGCCCACAGTGTCTCTGGGATGCCCAGTCTTGAGTTGCTAGATCTGTTAAAAGTCTGTGCCATTTAGCACGGTGATAGTGCCACACAACATGATGGAGGGTATTCTCAATGTGAAGGCGGGACTCATCTCCATAACGACTGTGTGGTGGTCACTCCTACCGATACTGTCATGGACAGATGCATCTGCAACCAGCAAGTTGGTAAGGATGAGATAAGAATTATTTGACCTTGTATCCAATAAACTTTAACCATTGATTTGAACAGATAAAGGAATCTCTCACTCGGTGTAAGATGTGCTGCAGATTCAGAATGACCTGGATTGTGCCGTTTAATAAAAGTGAGAATGAGCCTGTCTTGGTGTCCTGGCCAGCATTCTTTACACCAACACCCTCCCTCACCCTCCGACCCAATGGGAATAGGCAGGTTCACTGCCCATCCATCTCATTGGTGATTGTGGAACCTTGTTGAGCAGGAAAGGCCTGACATTTTCTACAGATGTTCATGTTGTCTCCACTCACTGCTAACTGCTAAATTTAGACCCTCATTACACCACAGCACACCATCTAGAACAGCAAACACCGTCCATTCTAGGGATTTATACTCTTGCCGCATACAACAGCATTGATAGCTTCCAGTAACATCAACCTAAGGGACATCTCAACCCGAGGCTTTCTAAGTTTGTGTTAATACACTCTTCAGATACCAATATTCCTCATAATATCACATTTATTTTGTTCCTATAGATTTGGCAACTGACAAAGATGACTTAAGAATCAACATTGTTTGTGCTGCAATAGTTGCACATGAACAAGGACTGAAGGCCTGGTACAGTAT